AACTGAAAGATCTCTCTTTTACTAGCTCACTGAGCGCACTTCAAACCGCTTTAAAACCAATTGTAACATCGACACCTCCACCTCCTGTAAATTCCAAGCCTACATCACCCTACTCAAGAAAGCCAAGCCCTCCACGCACTGCAACTCCAGTATTCTCCAAAAGCATTATTGATAGCCTCACAAGGACTAATGAACTACAAAACCAGGACCTCCAAAAGTTGCAAGCCCAGGTATGCTGCAAAAGCAAGCTTTTAATTAGTATGAAGATGTTATTTCATTTTTGTTCTTTGCAACCTTAAGAACATCTTTGTGCCCTTTTCCAGGTCAAAAATTTGAAAAAAAGATGTGAAGTACAAGAACTTGCCTTGCAGAATTCAGAAAAGAAAGCTCAAGAGGAATCTGCCAAATTCAATGCTGCAATAGAAGTCATCAAGTCTCTTGATTCTCAGGTACCCTTATAAATAACAATACATAATATTTTTGTAAAGATGAAAACATGTACACCATTCTTTCTGTAACCTATACTCTTTAGAAAGTTGTAAATGTTCCAATGTTTTTATTGATATCACTGTCTCATGGTATAATTCATGGTATTGGATGCAAATTCACTTCCATGCTCTCTTGTTATCAGCAGTCAATTCTTAGTAGGCCTTTCTAATGACTGCAATTTTCTATGGTTACCTAATTGATGAACAAAAACCCTTAAGAAGTCTGAATTCACATTTGTTAAATGACTAATTTTATTATCGACATATTATGTCATGGTTAACTAATAAAACCCTTATCAAGACTTCTCAGAAAAGTTGTTTATTAACATGCCTTTGGTTTGCACTTATCTATAGCTTCTTTATTATGTGAGGGAGTTTTCTCAAGGAGAAAGGAGCTTATGTTATTTATGTTGTCCACACAGAGATCATGCATGCTATTGATTCAAGCTTTCACAACCCCCATCTAGCTAGTCATCTATGAACATTTCACTCATATGCTTCATATTGTTATTAGACCACAAAAAATTGATATATCGAATTGCAAATTGCACAGAAGGATCTAAACTTAGTGGTTATATCTATTTTGCTTTCAATAGAACAGTTTTGACAAATTCCTATCTCTTTACAGCCAGACTGTTAAATAAATAGTTGCTAATTAGATCACAGAATGTTGTAACTTATCTAGTTTCCACCAAATTTACTATTTTTAAAGAAACCACATGTTTATTGTAGCTTATACAAAATAATCACAATACTTTGTTGTATTTATCATTGTTATGGTTTTTCTACTGATTCTTGTTGTCATTTTTATTGGCTACTATTTGCATTTGAAGCTGATGGACATAGCAGAGAAACTACCTCCCGAGTTTCGTGACAGCTTGGGCGTCATGCATGGTCAAGCAGAAACATTCCTTAAGCATAGTGAACATGTCAGATCAGACTTTTCATCTTCGACAATGGATTCTTCATCTAATTTTCAATCTCACCTGACAAATGAGGGAATTGACACTAGGTATGTGTTGGAATTATCACAGAGTGCTATTGAAGGTGGTGCTCAAAACAATAGTAAGTTAGGTGTTCCTGATAACAGAGAATCTACTTCGCAACATAGCATTGACAATGGCTTAAAATCACCTCCAAGCTCTAGGCAAAGCACTGATGGAGAAGCCGAATTGGTTGAGCAGTTTGAGCCTGGTGTATACATCACTTTCATTCAACTAAAGAACGACATCAAAATGTTCAAACGGGTTCGATTCAGGTACGCCTTCTTCGCATTGGAAACCATGCAACACTATTTAAGCATGTCACAAAAGACACATATCCATCTCGTTATTGTTTTAGAAAAAATACTCTTCAACAGTTGTATACTCATCAGCGAACAATTTTTTCTTTCTTTTATGTTACAATTATCTTGGTAGAAAACGTCAAAGGTATGTTAAAAAAAAAAAAAAAAAAAACTTGCAACATGGTGTAATTGAGATGAATGAACAAGTATAACTTTCATTCTTGAAAAAAGAATCCGAAGAAATTCTCCATTATTGCATTCACATTTAGCATATCTTTCATGATTACTTAAAACATGATTGATTGTTCTAGTCTACTCTCTATCTCTCTCTCTCTCTCTCTCTCTCTCTTTGTGGTTTCTTGTTGCATTCTGACTTTTTGATCCTTGTGTAGCAAGAGAAGGTTTGCCGAGCAACAGGCAGAAGACTGGTGGAACAAAAACAAAGAAAGAGTATTCAAGAAATACAGTTATCCAGGGCAGGCCACTACCACATTACCCACGAGTGCACCAAACGAGGAGGAAGATGCAACACCATCCTCCTAGACTTAGCTGTTCTCGTTGATAGTAAGGAGCAGTGGTGAGAAGAGACAAAAGGCACGAACTGACAGTGCAAGCTTCATGGCTTATGGAAGACTTCCTATTTAGTTGGCAATATTCTACTGCTAATCAATGGTTAGAGCTTGTCAAGGGATAGAGATGGCAATCTAGACAAGAAGCTTTGTTTAGTCATATTTTTCCACCATTGTTCTTTGTAACAAATCTTCTACTCGTGGGTTGTATCATTGTATAGGTTCATTCAACTTATCATCCAAAAGTTGCATTATATGCATCACAAAAATGTAATATACTGTATTCTCTCCCTTAGGGCAATGAATCATGATAAGAATGTGCATAGAATGTCATAGATTATTTGATTATTTATTGTTTCCCTTTGTAGAGAGGACCCTTCATATAGTGATCGAGCATAATGATGTTTTTGATGAGGCTGAGCATGTCAAACTAAAACTACTTCCCTGTAAAGGAACACACGCACTTCTCCTGAGGAAATCGATAAACATTTTGTTTTTGATATAATTTTGTCTTTTCTAAAGGTCTTTGCATTTATTATTTTCCTTATCTTGTCGTGAATGCTCGAGTCTCCACACTTAATGTATCCCTAATTGTTCTTTTCTTTTTCTTAGATTCTTATTCTAAGGACGAGAACAGAGCTTGGAGCGAAAATGATGTGAGATTACTTTCGTTGGTGCTTTATTCATACGTAACATATACATAATTGTGGGTGGTGAGGACCCATATATCCTTGCATGTGAGATATATTTCCACCACATGAAAAAGGTGATATGTGAAAAGTCCAAAAGTACAAACAAGAGTTGATGTTACACCCGAGAGTATGAACAACAATATGTGCATCAACATTCATACTATGTTCATTTACAATCCACACATCATCATCTTATTTGAAGGAGAGTGATGTTTGCAAGCTTCAACAATAAACACGGATAATCCATCCCATAACAATGGAGATTTAGCATGAATGCCCAATTTATCCTAGTTCATGTAAATAGATTCATGAATGCTTTTTGTCCGATCCCCTCGTTCGGACTATGCAAGTGACTTAGGATATGTTGTGCTTGTAAAGCAGGATATGTCACAGCCTGAAACTCCATTTTACAATGACAAATTTGAAAAATCATAGAAGAATGAGGTTAAAGATCTCATCCAAGAAATGTGATAAATTTGACATTCATCTTTTCTTTCAAAGAAAAATACTCAACCAAAGACACAAAACAGCAATAAGAAGCTCAGATTTCGTATCTTTTCCTTTGTCCTGGGTGTTTCAAATTAAGCAAGCGCAATGAGAGGTGGCATGACACCTTCTTGCAGTACTAGACTATAAAATTTCTGACTACTCAAACACAATTGCAACAAAGTTGATGCTATGTTTTCCCTTCCTCTTGCAGAGCCTGTCTCGACGATATCTAACGAATAACGAGCTAACGAATCTCCTTCTTTTTGCCATTGGACTTCCCAATCGAATTCATTGTAACACTCATAATTTTACGAAGATCCCATTGTGTTCCAGAAGCTCGTAACATCGGTCCTGATAAACCCCAATTTATTGCTTCCTCTCCACCAATAATGCCCACTCCTTCGACTCGCTCCAAAAAAATGGGATTTCGCGTAATGAGTTTTTGATATTCAACAATTCCTGTTAAAAAATAATCGCAAAAATCCAAACATTTATCTATCCAGCCATAAGGTAGATCGGCAGCTACTCCTCTTATGAGAAAATAATTATGCATCATTCACATACCTGTGGCGGCTTCGAATAAATCATATATCAATTCTCTCTCTCTGAAAATATAGAAAAAGGGAGTTTGCATACTAATATCCGCCATAAAAGGCCCAAGCCATAACAAATGAGAAGCTATACGGCTCAGCTCCAGCATAATTACTCTGATATAGCTAGCCCTTTTAGGTACTTGAACATTTTCCAATAGTTATAGTGCATTTACCGTTATTGCCTCTGTGAACATAGTAGCTAAATAATCCCAACGTGTTACATAAGGCAGATATTGTATAATTGTTCGATTTTTCACTATTTTTTCCATCCTCTATGTAAATAGCCCAATATAGGTTCACAATCAATAACATCTTCACCATTAAGAGTAACGATCAGTCGAAGAACACTAGATGGGTGGTGAGGACCCATATTAACTATCATGAAATCTTTTTTTGTAGCCGGTACAGTCATATCTTTTCTTCCTTAATTCATTATTTCATGAATTCCTCAAAAAAGTAGGAGGTTCATCAAAATAAAAAATCTAATAACTACTATACTAATTCAAACGATTTAATTAACGATTTTTCGACGCCCAAATTTTTAATTGGTCAATTAATTTCTTATAACGCGCTCTATTTTTCTTTGACAAATAAGAACAAATGTTGATGTTTTCTCAAAAAAATTTGTAGACCTCTTTGTGATAAAAAATCTCTTTTGTGCAATTCCAAATGTGAAGTAAGTCTTCGTATCTTATTGGTGAAACTTAATACTTGAAATTCAACAGAATCTTGGTTTTCATCTTTTTCTTCTTGTGGAAGAAGTGAAATGAATGATTTTTTTACTAGAAAACTTTTTTTATCTTTTTCTTTTCTTTCTTTTCCATGCCATGGATTTTACCGATCAGGAAAAATAAAATAATAATTATTATATTATATCATTTTTTAATCTAGTACACGTAAAAATTTAGATTTATCCGTTTCTATCTAAATCAAATTTTCCATTTGATTTAGATAGAAAAGAAAAGGATAATATATTTCTGCATTTACGAAAGAGAATGATTTCTTTGCACCTAAAAAGATTCTGTAGATTTCTTTCTAGATTCAATTGAATTGATACACAAGTAAATACGTATCATGTACCAAAACATAACACATCATATGCATACATCTTTTGATTTTTATTTATTGAAAACGGCATGTGATATATAGGAAATATACTATTAAATAATTCTGAATCGTGGATACATACGTATCCTTGACATGGCACCTTGAGTAGCTCAGATTTCAAACAGTTTCCTTTGCCCTGGGTGTTCCAAATTGAGCAAGCATAATAAAAGGTGGCATGGCACCTTCTTGCAATACTAGACTTCAAAATTTTTGACTACTCAAACATAGTTGCAACAAAGTCGATGCTACGTTTTCCCTTCCCCTCGCAGAGCCTATCTCAATGATCTCTACTAGTGGTGGTATACCACATTGTTGAGTAATCACTAGGCATCCTTCAGGAATTATCGATAGATTAGCCAAAAGAGTCATGGATTTGTCAATCATTCATGAGCTTGGATCCATCAGCTCAATAAGGTATTTAACTTCACCCACTTGAACTATCCTCACCTTATTTTCTATGGTTACCTAATTGATGAACAAAGACTCTTAAGAAGTCTGAATTCACATTTGTTAAATGAATAATTTTATTATCGACATATTATGTCATGGTTAACTAATAAAACCCTTATCAAGATTTCTCAAAAAAGTTGTTTATTAACATGCCCTTAGCTTCTGAATCAGCATTACATCCAGATGCATCTCTCCTCTTTGAATCGAGGATATAGCAATTTCCTTTGCATTTATCAATCTAAGTAGGAGACAATATATCATAACATTATTAATCATTTTTTTATTCCAGGGGTCATCTCATCTTAATTGAAAATTAAAATATTTTTTCAGGAACAAATATAGTTCTTTTTCCTTATTTTTCTTGGATTATTTTTTTTACCTTTTTTAATGTTTGATCTTGTGTAATCCTTTTCAGGATATTTCTTCTGTTTTTTTTTGTAGATCTAGTACAAGATTTTATTGACCCTCTTTTTCTTGGTTCGAATTTTGAAAATTTATTTTAATAGAATCATTGATGTTTTGATTTTTACTAATACTATTTTGATTTTGATTTTTTTTTTTTACTTAGATTTTTACTAATATTATTTTGATTTTTATTTTTACTAATATTTTTATTTTGATTTTTACTAATATTTTTTAAATTTTAA